TTTTAGTTGTACTTATCGTGTCTTCTAGAGTGTGAAAAAATGGACCTTTTAAATTAAAATTGGCTTAGGTATTTGAAAGTAGCCAACCAAAAAGTGTGTTATTTTGGAACGTATACATAAAACAAAATAATATGTACTAAGCTTCATTTTATTAGCGTCATTACATATTTTGAATGTTATTTGAATTTTCCTTACAGGAAACATGAAATATGAAGTGTATAGATCTTTGTTGATATATAAACATTTGCTAACTAGATCTTTCGGAGAAATAGGAATTTTCGTGCTGTATTGTATAGAAAATTTTTTTTTTAAATCTTATAAATATTATTGAATTCAAAGAATATAAAAATCATGTATTGAATTTTAAACAGTACCAAATTTGTAAAAAAAAAAAACTGAACCTGTATCTATTAGCAAAGTTTTTTCCCAATATAGTAAAGTCCTACACTAAAACTTATTAAATTTTTTATATTAATAATGATTAATGGATTATAATAATTACTTTGTTCGATTTTTGTAAAGCTATAGTCGACTTCTCTGATATTAAGTGTTTAAGAACGAGTTTTATTGTATTAAGTACTATAGAAAACAGTTAATGTTGCTCCTAAAGAATTAAAAATTGTATTATTTTAAGAAGCAAAAACCTTATTTATAGAAAATTTTAAATAAATGAGTGAATTTATAACTTCACGAAAAAATAATGTTTTATACATAACAAATTGTTTTGTATCAAATATTGGAACAATTTATTGTTTACACATTGAGATGAAAATAATTTATAATATTTTAACAATTATAAATATATCTTACAAATTCTTCGGACGTTCATTTTTCAACTAAATAACTTCTTCATTACGTGAATAGTGATTGAAACCATACCGTAACTTTTTAGAAAAAAATGAGAAAGAGTCATTACAAGCGAACAATTGTACAATAATATTTCATACGAATAAATCACAAAAGCCTCTTTAAAAAAATAGTTTTTGTACTTAAGTACAAGCTTTTTCTTATAACAATAAATATTTTCTTAAAGTCTAGAAAAAGCAGTGAAACTTTTAACAATAACTGTATTCCTGCGTGAAAATACACACAGTTTCCGGATACTTTGAATAGTTAACGTTTAAAGTTTTTCTCTTTCTCTGCATTTTGGGAAATTCATTGAACCTTCTCAAGTATCCAGTAAGTTTGATTTACATGATCCTTTTAAACAAGTGAACGGGCAAATCTAGTTTTATTTTTCTACATGGTATATGTATGTCTCTTTTCAAGATTAAATTATTAGAATCATAAACCTAAACTATGGTAATCTATGAGTTTTAAACTATAGTTTCAACTACTGACGAAATATGTATATGGTTTGAGAGACACTACCTATTAATAACAAACTGTGCTTAAGAAAATGTGCGCAGTAACTGGAACATTTTTAAAAAGTTAATCACTTATTAATAAAACTAACCAATTTATGTATAAATAGGTGAATAAAATATTAATATATAAATAAAAATAGAACAAAATAAATAAATATACGTGTGGTTAGGTAACCACAAGTCAACTGTCAGTAGAGCTAAGATATATTTTTTAAACAACAGATATAAGATACATGCTACATTTTCCAAATAAAGAGCAAAAGGCTACTTATCAGAGAACTGATGCTCTTTTTTTTCAGACAACATAGTTCCAATCAACTAATTTGTCCAACTTTTTAAGATTTTTTTACCTTTGATTGTTATATTAAAGAGTGATTAAATGACTCTTTTGTTATTTTTCACAAACAATTAACAAAGTAAAGAAAATTAGTTAATCGCTGTTGCATGTACGAATTCATCCAGTTGCGCAAGAGTAATTTTACTACGTAACATCGATTATGTGACTGTGACTTTTTCTAGAATTCATCGTATCAAGATTTTATTGTTTAATAAAAATAAACAATACTCAAGAAAACTGAATGATATTATTGTTCTTCGAAGCCAGTGTATGTAGCCTTTTTGTATACTATACACTTGCTGCTTAAATGCAGGTACATACGGGGCGTTTATTTTTAATTATTATTATTATTACGGAAATGGAAAAGCTGCATCTTTATACGGGATAGCAGAATATGCAATAAAAGTCAGTGTAGAATTGGGTAAGTTTTTTTTACTTACTCTTTCAATTTGAAATAGTGAAAATTTTACTATTTGCGTAAGTGACGAAGATTCTTACTGGCAAAATAGTGAAAAATTAGGATCGCTTATTTGCGCCCCGTTGATATAAACTTTAATTCTAAATATTTATCAGTATTCCAATGAAGTATCTTCATATAAATGAAGATAACTGTACAATCCATACCCATTATTTCGAGTGGTGCTAATAATAAGTTTACCAATTAATTTAAATAGTGAAATGTTAACTTGGTTAAAATAGTAAATATTATTTCACAGTAAAATCAACTGTTTCACAATGAATTTTCACTGGTTTATATACGTTTTAAGTATACAATTTTGAAATAGTGAAATCGACTTAAATTTAATTTTAAATTTAATAGTGTATATTTACTATTTTACAATGTATACATACCATTTTTAAAAAGTTTAATGCACTATTTCGAGAGCATGGTTGTTTATAATATTGAATTATGTCACTAACGTAGCGTCAAGATAGAATTAAGAGATAAGACATATTTAACGTTGTTTTTCAGAAACATTATCAAACAGGCTTCTTCCTTTAAGGTAATCTTCGTAAACTGTTACCAAATTTTTTTAATTTTCTAGGAGTTTTTCGGAATTCATCATTTAGACAATTATAGGATAAAACACTGAAGTCATGTACCCAATTAACTTGCCAAAAAGGTGTGTTTTAAAAGCCAGTGGCAAGGCTTGTGTAAAGGATTACACAATATTTATTGCATACTAAGTTACATCGTAACAATAAAAAATTACTATACAAAGTTGGTAAAAAAAATTAATAGAGGCAGAAAAAGGTGCTATTAATGCTTGATAAATAGTAAGATTGTTACATGGTTTAAGCGAACTTAAAACGGTAGTTTTGAGTTCTGTCACATGTATAGTTACGAGGGTACAGCTGTTGGTCAATTTTCTGTCATTTTATTTGTTTTTATTTTACATTAGCTCAATCCCATGTCATGTACCTATCTCGCATTCACGTCATATTGCCAGTCATACTCATTTTCTGTTTACGTAATTTTTATTTGTCATTTGAAAATGCTTTCTTCCCAAGCCACAAGAAATTTAAAATTTTTGTTCTAAATTATAGTTACATTGTTATCTCAAACCAATCATATTGCAAACGACTTGAGTATTCTTGAAAATACTTGCTTTTTTTCGTAGAGCAAGTGTGATTATCTTAACAAAAATTTTTTTTTGTCAGTTCTTGTTCGCACAATTCTTGTTGTAATATATTTTTTACTTTGGTTGTTATCAAATGAAAATCTAGACATTGGTAGCACTTACATTGTGTAACAAATTCGTGTACTCCAAGTTTGGACAAACAATTAAATGAAATTCATTAAAAACAGTTATTCTCTATTTTTAAGCAAACATTTAAAGTATCTAAAAAATCTATTTTTGAATCTTTTGATATTTAATACATAAATTACTTGTAAAGTGTAAAAGTCGTACACAAATAAAAGCTTTAATCAAGGTTTATGAGAAAATAATTTTGAGGTTTTATTATTGCCAAAGTGTTACCAAAAAAATATTTCAAGTAAATTAATACTGGTTCACAAGATTTACGTATAAATCACGTATTTAAAATAAATTTCTACTTCTAACTTTACTTTTTGCATTAAAATATACATATACATTTTCCAACATTTTCCGTCCCAATGTAATAAACTAATATCTGCAGTTAGATTAATTTTTTTATCTACCTAATGTACAGGAGTAATTTAGAGGCTACTTGTAAGGCTTGCATTTTTTAACTTGACTCAAAGCGTTACTTCCTTTTTAGTTAGGCCTCCGCCGAGGCCAATATCTTTGTTTTAAAATAGCGATCAAGCAAAGTGCTTGTATTGAACTTCGAGTAAAAAAAAGCCAAGCAGACCTCCAGCACGTGAGAAGTACAAAACAAATTTTACGAATCATTGTCTTGAAAAATAAATTACGATCCGCAACGATTTTATAGCATATGAAATTTTTCATCGCTGCAATAAACTCGACGGAATCGTGTGGGCCATAGGAAGCGCCTACACGTACATCGCAACCACATGCGCGATGAACGAGCGATTGTGTAGGTGTTCGTCCGAATGACGCGAGTGTCCGGCATCACCTATTCAGTCGCAATCAAAAGTACATATCCTCTTCTTTTGTCTTCGAAAGCTTGCAGCGCTCGCTCGTGTAATCGTGCACATACCGGTTACTTTAACACTGATAAATGACATAAGGGACGAAGCTCTGAACAAATTGGTAAGATATTTTTTTTTCGGTCTCATGGCGTGGTGTTAAAATTATTTTAAAAAAAGGTGGATTCGATGACCGGTATTTCATCGTGATCGGCAATTTTTTGTTCGATCTACCAGTGAGAAATATTAAAGATAGCCGTCATTTGAATTTCGTACTTAGTTAAAGAGAAAAGTATTCAAACAAATACTCTTGGTCTTATTTTACCGATCGAATGCCTATAATCCAAATAACTCCTTGATACAGTTACTGATTCGATTTTTCAAAAACCTTGTAATATTGTAGTGCCAAAAATTTTTCCTGTATCGTGAAAAAAAAAAAACCTTATCACAAAAATAAAATCTGCTAAAAACATGAAATTTTTTTCCGACAGGAGCTGGTACCGATCTCGCGTGCATCATTTCCCAACATTCGGAAAAACTCGTCAGTAGCGCACAATAGCACTACACAGAGATCCCACCAGCGTTTCCACATCCGCTCACTCGAGCTCGTACATACCACGGTAGGCCAAAAGCGTAAATTACACGCGCACGAATTTTTGTTCTCGTAATGACACCCGCTTGCGCATACATTACCACGTATACACATAAGCATTATACGAACCATTAAACATGGCAACTGCTACTGTCACCACTGGTACTTATTTACATGTACAGAGGAGCTGGAGTAATCCCCGGATCGGTAATAGCCCGCTGGACGATACAACACCACTGTATAGCAGTATTACATGCCTGCACGGCTGCTGACGTGATTTCCGTCGCACCTCGGCTTTGCGTGAACTTGGATAACTTTCGGGGTCAGCATCATTGCCGGAGGAGTGCCCGACACCTGCCTTGATTTTTAGCCGATTTTTTTTTCCCAGTTGCCCCTTGCCCTTGATCGGCTTTTTTGATTTGACAAAACGCCACGCACTTACCGATTTTCAAAATTATACCGATCGTTGACTTCAATAACTCGGAACGATCGCCTTTTTGCGACAGAATGGCTCTCAATCAATGATCGGCACTTATTTTCCTTACCGATCTCCAAGCACGTCTCTTAACGAGGCGCGTAAAATTGTCAACTAGAATCTTTTTTCTGTAACTTGACGTTTTTTCACACTTAAAGCCTCCATCAATCAGCGTTTACGGAAAAATGGCAGGTGACAAAAAAAAAAGAATCAACCAAAAATTTATGTTGCATCTGCTTATGTGAAACGTACCGATTTGGCCGACCGATCGACCGGCTAGAAGCGCGCTCGGACTAAAACACACTGCCGTGACTCACGGCCGGTTCTGCCTAATAAGCGCACTCAAAAGAGCAAGATCCTTTGGAGCACCGGCAACGCGCGCGCTAGCCAACAACTGACTGGTGCTTATACTGTTTACACGATTGCTGCTCTGTGCAACGGCGACAGTATGCGAGAGAGAGAGAGGGAAGGAGATAACGCGTGACTCGTGACTGACCCCGAAGTCAGCGGTGAGTCCTCTGTACCTTGATTTTTGAAGCCGTGAATAGAGTAAGGGGCAGGGGAGGAGGATAATGATAAACAAAAAATTTAGTTATTTATACACAGATGAATAATGGTAAGGTTTACAGCCTGGTATATCTTGTAAAATTTCAGGTGAAAAGAAAGATTAGAAAATGAAAAAATTTTTAAAAATCTTGTAAGAAAGTTGTATTATATATTTTTTTAAATATTGATGAACATGACACAGTAAAAACTACTCTACTTATAAGTTTTAAAAAACTGTAAAATGAATTTTTACGAGAAATTATTTGTTTATCTGTTAAAACAATATCAGGTAAGTTTTTTAGACATTACCAGAATATGGGAGTTTTTTATATAGTTTTGTTGAAGAAAAAAGTGTAATTAAGTATAAATCGTTGGTTTTTGATATAAAACAAATTTTTAATTTAGGGTTACTTATTCGACTTAGCCATAATATTGTGGTGTATGTATTGTACATATGTATTGTATTTGTGCACGTAGTCAAGTATTTTAGCTAACTCAAGTATGATCTAAACGTTCCTTACATATCAGTAGTTGTTTTTTGTATTATTTTATCTACTAGTTCATAAGAAACTTAGATTGTAGTTAATAGACTCAACTTTAGAATTTTATTGCAATTTTATTTTTATGTACCATCTTCCCAATACGTAATTAAATCCATCCTTACGAAAACGCTGATCTCTATCACACGTTGTAGAATCTGGTAGCAATTGAATAAATATATCAATTTAAGACCGTGGTAACAATAAAGTTTATGGATTGAATTTAAAGGTAGTTAGAGAGAGAGAGGGAAAGATGTGACATTCTTTTTTCTTGTCCTCTGAGGTTGTTTAGGGTACAGTCAACGGGTGGTCGCTCGTAAAGCAAATACTATGTGTGCGATTTCCTTTACACCTCCATATTTACCGTTAATCGGCAATGGGCATGCCATTTCCTCCTCTCCTCATTCTTATTCAGAAACATTCACTCTTGACTTTTGCGAAAGTTTCGTACATATATAGTACATCTTCCGTCTCCTTCACTTCTTCATCGTCCTTTTCTTTCTGGTTCATTTCTTCCCTTACTTTCCTTTCTACTGTTTCTTTTTCTTTTACTCTCTTTACTTACTTTCCAAACATTTCGCTAGCTGTTAAGTTTGTGACAAGAAGTTTCGGTTGCTATTGACAGATTCTCAGATTTGAGTCTATACAAGCCTTTCACATAAAAGTGCATGTCTTAGGTGGTAAATATGAGTGGGACAGAGAACAAACAAGTCGAAAGTTAACTCTCTTCCTCTTTTTGTTTTGATGATTTTTCTTTGCCACTGTAATGCTACTGCTTGATCGCTATTTTGCTTATTTTTAAAAATTTTTTAACTTTACTAACTACATATTGGAAGTAAGGGCAGTTGACTATAATTTTTACATAACTTAAGGGATGAAAAAAAAAAATGTGTACGATTTCGTGTGTTCGCGGTGGCTTAATGTTAACGAGGTGCATTCCAAAAATTAAAAATGATGAGAAAGTAACAGAAATTGTTAAAAGCTATAAATCAAGTTATGAAGAAATTTGTGTGAGAATTTTAAAGCGAAATGCCATACAGTTTTGAGAAAATATTATTGTCAAAGTTGTGACTTTAAACACGGGCTCTTGTCGAGGAAACGGGAAATTTCACTTTCAATTTATTGTATTATTTTTTTCCTAGTAAATATCGATTCAACACCAACTGGTAGTAATGATTAACTAACTGAACTTTCTAACTGAAAAAAATGAAAAAAGTAACATTTACAATACTTTTTGAGGCTAAGCTGAGGCTGGTGTGCCCTTGGTAGGAAAAATAGCATTCGCCACATAAGCGCCATCGCTGTGTGGCTACCTAACGTCCCTCGGGCTCTACTTCGCAGGTCCCTCTGACCGCAAAATAGCCCCGGAGACGATGGCACTTATCCGACGAAAACTACTATTTTAAATGATTCTGGTTGAAAAAACAAACTTTCGAAGATTAAGTCAAGAAAATGATTTTCCTCAAACAAAAAACTTTAAATAATTTGCTGTCACGTACAGTATGAAACATACTGCGTGAGATAGGCCTCAGCTATTATAAAAAGGCCCACAGCAGTGACCGCAGAGCTCTAGAACGCCGGGACTAGAAAGAGGGTGGTCACAATAAGTAACTCGGGACAGCCAATCACCTTCTCTCAAGGAAAAGTAAATAAAGTGATTAACTAATTTTAACTGACGTTTTATTATTAAGCATCCCGAGCCTTCGGAATCCCACGTAACACTGCTTACAAAGAAAGCAAACTTTTTTCAATCCAGAGCTTTCTATTATTAAATTNTGTATTAATGTTGAATATAACTGTATTACAGTATTAAAAATTGTTACTGGAATCTAACTTTTACGTACAGCTTCAAACAGTGTAGTATGCCTTTAATTTTTTTAGGCCGTTAGCTTCTTCTAGTCAATCAAATCAATTTCTTGGAAAATTGTCATGTATTTATACACCAAACCTATTCTACTTCTGTCACTTTTAAATTCCCGTGACATTTTCTATTACTAAATAGTTGTGAGTATCACAACAAATATCAGTATGAAGATGGCTGACCGAAATTTGTTTCTGTAACTTATGTTTCTCAATTGTAACAATAAATTTTGTCATAAACTTTAATGAATTATTAATGTAACCGTATTTATTTTTACTATCCAATGCTGAAATTATTACTTTACTGTTTTTAAAGATTGCCATGCATAAATTAATTTTGACTTGATAATTATTTCAATCAGATTTCATTCCGTTAATGATCATTATGATTGTGAATATAATTATTATTATTTTAATCGTGACTATTATTGCTATTATGACTATTATTTCTATTATTACTGTTATTATTATTACTATTATACACGCCATTTTTATTATACTGATTTATACTATGCATATTCATGGAGTTTATCAAACGTGTGTATGATAAAATAAAAAATTCTCATACAAACTTACAAGTTATTTTAAACACAAATATTACATACAAGTACACATTCGTTTTTCTTTCATGTAAAAGTGATGGTTACAACAGCAACCGTTGTTTCAAAAATACAATGTTCTAGAAATTCACAAGAAAATATACTCGTTCACTTCGTTATGTAAATATTATGCAACTATCGAAATATTTTTCTCTGAGACCCTTTATAGCTAACGCAAAAATTGTTTGTGCTAACTGCTGTGCTTGAAATTAGGCGGAAACAAGACTTTATTGACTATTATTACATCTCAGATGGTTCCGTTAATGCCAGTGCTCGGCGCCAAAGTTCCTAGCATGAAAGCATTGGGTCTAATGGGAATGGTTCTATTTTAATTAAGAACAATTTTCTTACCATGTGGTAATTTATGGAACTGGTACTTTTTACAAGACATTGGTATAATATATAATCATTTTAGACTGATTAATACATATTAATTATATAAAAATAGAATTTCCATTTATTAAAATAGGAAAATTTCCATAACACCCATGCTTTCGTGCTAGAAAACTTGGTACCAAACTCTGACATTTATGGCACAACCTGAGATGCTGCGATGTGTTCATAATAAATACAACGGATAAAATGTGAAAGAGAAGATAAAAAGAACAAAAATATTCCGAAAAGCTGACTAAACAGGAACGATCCTGTATTTCTGTTTTTTCTCCTCTTTTGTCTTCTTTACCTCTCTCTCTCTCACACAGAGGAAAACAAAAATCTTTTCAAATCACTAAGCAGCACGTGTTCTGTTCAGGTCCATCGTTTTCATGTTTCTGTAAACGTACTTCTATGGCACCGTTAAAAGGTAGGAAGAGATAAAAAGGGAAGAAGTGAGGATAGGGAGCTGGTCACAGTTCGATTTTCTACGCATTTATTTTTTTCTCAGAAATTTTTGTGGTAATAGGTAGCTCACGTTAGATTTTGCTGATACGTGCTCGTCAAAAATTCGATTCCACAGTTTTTTTTTATTCGATGTATTTTGACCTCCTAAAAACGGTAAACCATGGCGTTTGTCTTCATTTTGCTGCAACTAATGGTTATTAACGAATTATACAAAAAATAGAGAAATCTTACAACTTTTGTTAACAAAAAACTTATTCTGATTCTTTGGCACATTTAGAACAAAAATTAATGAAGATGTAATATATAGGACGTTCTTTTACAAACCGAACACCTTTCTGACCGACACATTTTAAATTT